TTCCCTACCTTCCTCTCAATTTTGCTGTGAATGCAAAACTTCTCTAAAGAGCAAAATCTATTCAAAAGAGTTAAAACAAGTCTAACAAAAAGCATATCAGAAAACCTATGGTGGTAAAAAATGTCCAGTCCCTCCTTCAGTTCCAGGAATCTCTACTTGAGAACTTTATTCTGTTCTGCCTGCAGTCTGCACTCACATGTTCCAGTAAAAATCGGATCTCTTTTGGCTCAAGTTCTCTGGGACTTTAGAACTCACGCCCCCCACTTGCCTTGTTTGATCAAAGGGTCTTAGCGCAACCCACCCCACCCCCTCAATGCTTCTCCTGACCAATCGCACTGCCTTTCTATGTGGGAAACGTCTGTTTTAGACTCTGAGGCACGTTTGGTGGCGCACTTGTGAAGTTACACCGACCATCATCTGAGAGCCAGCTCTCCAGCTCCATCTGAACTATCCCAGTGCCTGACACCTGCAGTCTCTCCTCCTCGCCTTGCTTGTAAAGGCTCCCTTTTCCGTGGGGAAAAATCCTGAACAGCCTTCAACTGTCATCTCCTCTCTGCAGAGCTCCCTGATCAAGAAAGAAGAAACTGATCAGGTATCTGTGCTTCCTGCAGCACTTTACGTCATTGTTATTATCACTCCCACAAACACCCTCCACTCCCATATTATAGGATTTTGTATATGTGCCTATACTCCTATACCAAAGGGTCTTTGAGGCCAGAGTCTACATCTTAATTGTTCTTATTTATGTGTCTATTTCCAGTTCCTGGCATGGATTTGGCATATCGCTGATGCTCCACAAACACATAAGGGAAATTGGACATTTGGGCAGCTGCATTATTTCTAGAAAGTCACTAGGCCATCATTATAGATTTTCAGTAAAATATAAGTTTCATCATCTACCTATCTATGCATCATTTATCCAACCATTCAACCATTCAACCATTCAACCATCCATCCATCCATCCATCCATCCATCCACCCAGCCATCCACCCATCGAAAAAAATGTGCAATAATACCTACTCTGCCGTGCCTTTTTATGGGTAATAAAAAAGAAAAGAAGAGATGAATAGAAAATGAGTAAGATATGGTCCTTGATTTGACATATGTTGCTGCTGAATAGGAGAAATAATATTTGAAAGCAAGGACCATGACTTGTCCATCATTTTGTCCCCTGAAGCATCTCATGCAGGGACTTTTACTCAGTAGCAATCAGTAAATGACTATTGAATTAATGAATGAAAACAAATACAATATAAGGCAGTAAGTGAAAAGTGTCAAATAAATGCAACAGACAAAGC